AGGTGCTTTAGACCACTGAGCCATCTCACCAGCCCCCAGACAAATGTTTTTTTGTATCAGTTGAAATAATTGTGTGATTTCTCTCCATTCTGTTCATGTGGTATATTATATTGATTTTTGTATGTTGAACCATCCTTGCATCCCGCTTGTTTATTGTGGGATTCTTTTAATGTGCGTCTTTTTAATATATTGCTGAATTTAGTTTGCTAGTATTTTGCTGAAGGTTTTTTGTTTGTTTTTCTTTTTTTATCTCTCTGTCTCTGTCTCTGTCTCTCTCTGTCTCTCTCTGTCTTTGTCTCTCTCTGTCTCTGTCTCTCTCTGTTTCTCTGTCTTTCTTTGAGATAGGGTCTTGCTATATAGTTCAGGCTGGCCTCCAGCACAAAGAATTCCTCCTACCACACTCTCCTAAGATCTGGAACTGCAGATATGTGCCACTACACAACCAGGTTTATTCATTGTTCTTTAAGGATATTGATGTGTAGTTTTCTTATAGTGTTTTTTATCTGGCCTTACTATCAAAATATTCTCTTTTTATCTTTTTTTCCACAATCCTGTCTTCACCTATGCTGCTCCATTTGTTGTTGCTATTTTTCTTTGTTTTTATGTGTTGTTGCTGTTTTTGTTTATTTCTTAAAAAAAAAAAGTCAAGTGTGCTTTCTTGCTCTTAACCCCAATCCTCTCCATGTGCTTTTCTTTGAGGCAAAGACCTTAAACTCCCCAAAACTCTTGCTAGACTTCTTGAATTCTATAAGCACACAGAAAAGGCAGTTTTCAATTTCATGTGCATTCAGTTGAATCCAGCTAATAATCGGTTGGTGTCTGAGCCGGCTAGGCCTTGTGTTGGCCAGTGGACTCCCAGGAGTATACAGAGGTCCTGGGGAGCCAAATAAGGTCTCAGAGCAGAGACAGAGCAGCACTGCCTGTGGCCTGGAGTCCCCAGGCACCAGAGAGCAGCAAGCTCAGGGAGTGAGGAGGGATGGCGAGAGCAGGTGACCTTTTCCTGGTGTAGGCAGTGCAGCAGGAGCTCACTGGGTAGCACCAAGATGTAGGGACTGTAAGAACAGTACTGCTGGTCTAGCTCAGAGAGAGAGATTAGCTTCCAAGGACACACAGGAACTCAGAGAGGTCATAACAGTGGGCTGAGCCCAGGATGGCAGCCCATGGCTATGCATTAGGCGCCAGAGCAGGAGTATCAGGTAGCCACTGCTGGTCAGGAGTGGTACCCAGAGGACAAAGGAAGTAGTGTTGGCCTAGTCAGTGGCTCCCTAATCTGTATCAGAATTGCCTGTGGGATGGGTTTAAAATATATATTCCCAGACTCTACTCAGAGACTGCTTCATGCAGGCTGGAGAGAAGCCCAAGGAGCTGTGCTTTATTTCTGTGGATCCCCAGGTGTTTCTGCTGCAGGACACCCCAAGGCTGAGCTTGGGCCTCCCTGGCCCAAAGGGCATATTCTCCTAGGGAGCTCTAAGTCTCAGTTCTGTCCTCATCCCGGCCAGCTTTTGAGTGGAGACTTGGGGAAAGGTGTGTGTACCTCCAGATAAAGCTGCACGTAGAATGGGAAGTGAGACGAGCTGACGTAGCTGGGTTTGTGTCTCGACCATAGCAAACCAAGCTGTGACCATGAACATGTGATGGAGCTTGTTTGAGTCTCTGTGTCCTCCTGAAAGCAATAAGACCAATGCTGCTGCCCACTGGGACTGTTGTGAGGACTGGGTCAGGAGATGTGGGCCAAGGGCTTGGTGACTGTGGAGTGGTGCTGCTGCTGTTTATTCACTTTGTTATTGTCACCAGGGAGGACTGTAACGTCTTTCGCTCACTTCCTGCCTGCTGCGGAGATCTTCTGGGATACCTCTGGTGGGGCTTCCCACATGGGGATCCAGGATACTGAAGCCCCAGGCTGGGCTGAGTGGCAGGCATAGTGGGCATCCCCGGGCTGGGGTGCACCACGGTGGGGTGGTGGGTGCTGGGGTGGGGCTGAGGGGGAACCTGGGCAGAGGCAGCCAGAGCAGCCTCAGTCACCCTCCGTGGCCCTCACCCTTATCCTCTGTCTGCAGTGGGGCTGACCTGCTTGCTGTGAACTCTGATGGGAACATGCCATATGACCTCTGCGAGGATGAGCCCACCCTGGATGTCATCGAGACCTGCATGGCGTACCAGGGTAAGGGCAGGTAGCCCGCCTTAAAGTGGGCTGAGCGTGGCATTGCAAGCGTCAGCTAAATGAATGCAGTGAGTGTCACGTTGGCTGGCTGCGTGCCTCCCTGCCTGGTACTCAGCCCCCATAAATGGGATAGGTCCACATTATTGTCATTATCTGTGTGATTAACAAGATAAGGACATGAAGCGACCCTGGGAAGCGTGCTATGCAGAAGGGAGGTATTGTTCTCATTTCTGTCACCCACACATGCAGGCGGCCTCAGCTGGCCAAGTCTCCTCTTCGTCAGCTGTGACAATTCAATAAACATTCGCCATAAAGATATATCCTCATTTGGGAAAACAGTAAAAAGTCAGGAACATTCTTCAATGCTGCTCTGTGCCAGGCACCAAGCTTCCTGCCAGAGGCCCAGATAAACAAGATTTGGGCTGTTCTCAGCTCAGAATGAGGTTCAGAGAACAAATAAACAGCAGTGAGAGGCTTGCACACCTCTGTATCCCACAGCCATGCCTGTGAAGGAGGCGTCTCAAGTTCAGCCCTCCAGCTGCACCCTGAGGTCGTGTTCTGGCCCATGCCTTGTACCCTCCCCTCAGCCCTCCCCCCAGGATTGCTGTGGTCATTGCCAATTGGTCTCTTAGTCTCCTGGTACCTAAGCTTTCCGCATTTATTTCTGTTGAGTTTCTTAACAAATTGGGGCTGAGCCAGTAAATCTATGGACCCCCTTTCAGAGTATTTTTCAATATAGTTTTAAAATGATAAGAGCCAGCTGTGGTGGTACACACCTGCAACCCCAGCATGTGGGAGCCTGAGGCAGGAGGATCACTGTGGATGAGGCCAGCCTTGGCTACATAGTGAGTTCAAGGTCAGTCTGAACTGCATAGTGAGACCCTGTCATGAACACACGCACACACACACACACACACACACACACACACACACACACACAGAGGAGTATAAAGAAAACCAAACTATATTCAGATAGAGCTATCAAAATAAGGTAACATAAAATGAAAACACCTAGAGATTCTGTTAGTGATAAATTCACAGGCATTGCTAATGCCTCTGTAAGATCTGCTTACATTTCAGAGGTAGGAAACACCGAATTTTATTTAGTGTCAAAATGAACAAGTACTAATACATTGTTTTTCTCCTTTAGAGTTTATAAGGCTTCCCTGAATTTTATCCAAGGGTGCTTGATCTAATGGATCTTTTTATAGAGCATATCACCCTCTCCTTAAATACCATTAGTGGCTGCCAGTAACAGCTATAGTTTGTAGTCAGGGATTCAGGTTATAAAATGTCTTCCTGGGCCCCTCTACCTCAATTTACTCAGCTTTCCCTTTGAAATTAATATATGCAGGGCTGGAGAGATACCTCAGAGGCATAAGCACCTGCCTGACAAGCACAAGGACCTAAGTTCAATCCCTGGCCCCACATGCCATACAGTCTTAGCCCCAGATGTGGGTGTCCACCATATGGCCCCAGAACCTTGTATGGTGGCGCATGCCTGTAATCTCAGCACTTGGGAGGTTGAACCAGGAGAATCTCTGCAAATTTGAGACCAGCCTGGAAACTACGAAAGTGCACACAAGGCCAGCCCAAACTGCATAGTGAGACCCTATCTCAAAAAACAAAACAAAACAAAACAAAATTAATATGTGCATTTATTCAGTAATTTCCACAACAAAAATGCATTCATAACTGTGCCTGGTTCTCCAGCCAAAGGAAATCAAGAGAGACTCTGAGGCTAGCTGACAGACAGGTGGGGAGATTCGAGCCACTTGAGCAACTGGAGGTGGGAAGGCAGCTTCCAGGCAGGAGAGCACAGGCTCATAAATGACCAAGATCAAAGAAAGGCCTACTGGGTGCCCCTCAATCTGTGGATCAATGCATGGTGCTTTTGTTTATGCCTCAGGGACAATGGCCTAGGTCCCCCTTGGCTGGCAGGCTCTGAGAAGCTGGAGCTGCACGTCCTCCGTCTGTTCTCTCTCCTCTTGGGACGTAGGCCTGAGAATGCTGAGCAGTCCTCTCTCTCTCTCACTTTAGGCATCACCCAAGAGAAAATCAATGAGATGCGGGCTGCTCCTGAGCAGCAGATGATCACGGACATCCACTGCATGATTGCGGCAGGCCAGGATCTTGACTGGATAGACGCCCAGGGGGCCACGCTGGTGAGGAGATGGGACAGGCCGGTTGAGCTGGGGGCAAGCACCAAAATGAAGACCAGCTGGGGTTGAAGTGGAACAGGCCTAGGTGGGGGCCAGGCCTACACAGTGAGGGCTTTTTTGTGACCTTAGACCTTCTCCAGATCTCCAGGGCCACCCCTGGAATATGGAAAGTTAGTGGAGTAAGGTTCAATCTTTTGGGGGCCCTGGCCGCTCTCACCTGAGGTTTGGAGTCAGGCCCCCTGAAGGCATGCTTGGCTCTGTTGTGCATATGTTCCATTTCCAAGATCATGCCTGTCTTGGATATTATTTCTCCTTTTCCAATGCTGTCTTCCCTCAGGGACTGGTGCCACCATGCCATCTGGATTTGCAAGGTCCTTTCCCCTGTCTGGTGTTCTTTCTCCCACCCCTATTGCCTTGCCTCAGTATCTCTTCTTGATATTGTCTTAACAGCCTCCCCCCTGAGTTCTTTGACCTCAGAGTCCATCCATCCGTCCATCCGTCCGTCCATCCATCCATCCATCCATCCATCCATCCAGTTGACCTACAGGCATATGAAAATTCCTCTTTTGTACTACATACTTTACTGGATTCCGGAGACAGAACAGTAAAGGGTTCTTCCTTCTCTAATTTTCCTGGTTACCTCCACTCACCTTTGCAACCCAGCATCAGTGATTTGGAGAAACCTCCCTGGCAGTGCCTCCTAAGTTCTAGCACACTGCAATTCAGTATAGGGCAGGATCTGCTTCTACAGCCTCTACCCTGACAACAAGAGCATGGTGAGCTTGGAAATTCACCCCTAGAAGCTGGGAGCTACTTTAGGCTTAGGCTCCTGGCAGGTCAGAGGTCCCAGCGTGTCAAGCTCAGCATACAGGGGATAGCACCTCTATGCTGTTTAACACCCTCAGGACTGACCTTGTGGCCCAGGTACAGACAGTAACAGCTCCCTCTTCCTGACTCCTGAGTTCTGACCTATTTTTTTATGCACATTTCTAATTTCTGCGTCCCTACTTGGATCACCTGTTCAGCCCAGCTTTAAGAATGGGGTCAGGAAACTGGATGTGGTGACATGTATCTGTAATCCCAGCCTTCTGGAAGGCTGAGACAGGAGGATCACTAGGTCAAGCCCTGCCTAGGCACTTTAGCAGCTTAGTAAGGCCCTATTTTTAAAAAATCAGAAAGGGCTGGGAATATATCTCTTGTAAAGGCCTAGGTTCAATCCTTTTTAATATTGCAAAAATTAGGGCCAGTGAAATAGCTCAGTGGACTAAGTGCCTGCTTAGGCAAGTGCAGGGACCAGGGTTCAATCCCAGGTACCACATGCTGCACTGGCCCCACCCCTGGGTGCACTGAGCCAGTGACTGAGTCTGAGTGTGATGGTATAGGTCTGTAATTCCAGTGCTGGGGAGGCTGAAAACAGGAGGATCACTATGAGTCTGAGCTGTATAATGAGACCCTGTAACAAATATATTTAAAAAATAATAATAATAAAAATAAAAGAGAAGGTCAGGGGATGAAACTGAATGTTGCTGGCCTGGGGGGACTCAGCCACTTGGCCTAAGTACATATGTAGATGTCAGGTCTTCCTATAGAGAACATCTGGAGATAAGAGTTTCTCCCTCCCATGCCTGTTGGGAGGGCCAAATGTGTTTGTGCATGAAAGTGTTCAGCAGAGTCTCTAAACAGAATCTGTTAGCAGCTATCATTATTACTGCTCTCATTATCCTACTCTGGGTTTCTTCCCCCAAACCTAACAGAAAGACCCCATGGTTTTCTGGCCAGCTAAGTGATGTTTTTTAAGACTGGCAAGCATCATAAATTTACAAAAAGATAGTAATGTTCTATCTAATTACTACTTTATTTTTATCTAATGGTATAGATAATTTTCTATCTATACTAATTTTCACAAGCTATTGTACCACATCACACCCTAGATTCATTTTTAAAATTTAAAAAAGAAAAGAAAAGTCTTAATTTGCTAGAACCTTGTTGCAAGCGTCCCTCAGATGAGGGAACATTTCCATGTTTCCATGTACTAGGTCACTTCCTGAGGCCATGCCTTCTCTGTCTTCCTGGCTCTGCTGTCTCAGACCTCAAACACTCAGAGGTCTCTGGCTTCTCCCAGCCGTCTCCAGTGGCTGTCTGGACTGTCCCTCTGTCTCTTGTCATGGCTGGGCAGTTTGTGTCTCCACCTCACTACCTTTTCCCATGTTTTCTCATTTTCTTGGCATACCTTGTCATCCAGGAGGGGTCTTGAAGGGTATGAATCACTTACTGAGTGTTCATCCTGTGCCAAATATTTTATGTGTTTTGGCAATCCAAAAAGTGGAACAACTGAAATCTACTAGGTGTTGGCTATGGCTGGTGCTGGGTACAGGACTTGGGACCTTACATGGGGCTTTCAGTTACTGGGTGCATCCGTTTTCTATTGCTACATAACAAAACAACCTCACGATGTAGCATCTTCATAACAAATTGTGTCTCAAATGGGTCCCGTGGGTCAGGGTAGAGGCATTGCTCAGATGGGTGGCTCTAGCTTGGCATCTCCCGTGAGGCTGTGGTGAAGACGTTGACTGGGGCAACAGTCCTGTCTGAAGTCTTGGTCTGAGCTGGAGGGTCCCCTCTGAGGTAACTCCCTTGCGCCTGGCAAGTTAGTGCTGGTGGTTGGCTGAAGGCTTCCATTTCTTGCCTCTTGGGACTTCTCTTTAGGGCTGCTTGAGGGTCTTCACAACATGTTAGCTGCCTCCCTTACACTGGTTTACTCAAGAGAGCACAAGTAGAAGTAGCAATGTAGAAGTAGGGGAGGACTAGCCTTGGAAATCCACTTTCTACTCTTTTGTTTCTTATCAGTCAGTCATTCAGTTTGGTCTATATGTAAGGGGAGAGCATTAAGCTCCACCTTCTAAGAAAAGATGTGTCAAATAATTTGTAGACATCTTTTTAGACTGTCATGTTAGGTATCTGGAACCCCCTTCACTGGGCTCAGCACACAGTAGGGATACCCCAAGGGAGAAGAGCTCACCTCTCTGTCTTTCCTTCTAGGTTGATATTTGAGATTTAGTAATTCTCTGCAGCTTAGCTGGTGTTTCCACTTCAGTCTCTTTCATTCTGCTGGCCCCAAGGATGCTCTGGGATTTGGGCAGGTTGAGGGACATTCTACCTCCAAGAGTAGAGCCAGGCCCCTAGGAAATGCTCACTTCTCCCCTCTGTTCCAGCTGCACATAGCTGGAGCCAATGGATACCTGCGGGCAGCTGAGCTCCTTCTGGACCATGGAGTGCGTGTGGATGTGAAGGACTGGGATGGCTGGGAGCCCCTGCATGCTGCTGCCTTCTGGGGACAGGTAGTTCACACCCATAGGCCTGCAAGAGAGGTTCGCACAGGGTCCAGCTACTGTCACCAAGCCCATGGGCTGGCAGTTGGTTTGAAAGAACATAAAGCCAACTTAAGCAATTGACTATAGCAAGCATGTTTGATGTGAAAAGGCTGAAGGGTTTGAATAAATGTTCTACTAGTTGTGTCTTAAAGGGATTATAATCAGATTTTCCAAGCATTTCTGGCTTGAGAAGTGTCCCATTGTTTTCTGTATATAATTACAGCTCACACAGTCCCCTTTCTAGACACCTGGTAGCTCTAGAGTTGCAGCCAGCTCCTTTTTAGCCCCCTTGGTGAGCCCAAGGCACACTGGAGGTGGCAAGTCCTCGGCATCTTCCAGAATCCCCCCCCATGGCTCTAGGGTTCAAGATACTCCCTAGGAATCAATTTTGGCCCTCTGTCCTTTAATTCACATTCTAAAAGGCCTTGAGGCCAAGTCTAGTGGTTCATACCTATAATCCCACTACTTGGGAAGCTGAGGCAGGAAGAGTATGAATTCAAGGCCAGTCTGGGCTATATAGTAAGGTTCTTGTCTGTAAACAGAACAAAACAACATAATAAGCCTGTTGGGTCTGGGGAGATAGCTTAGCAATAGAGTGTTTGCCAGGCATACATAAGGACCTTGATGAACAAAATGAAACAAGCCCAAAGCTGCTGGGACTTGGGCACTCTGTCTGCCTTCTAGGCTTTCTGAATCCTGGCTGAAGGAATATGATCTTCTTGTGTTTCAGATGCAGATGGCAGAGCTGTTGGTGTCCCATGGGGCTAGTCTCAGTGCAAGGACTTCTATGGATGAGATGCCAATAGGTAGGTTCAGCACCATACATGGTGTATACATGGGTACTCATCAATCTTTTGATAGGTGAAAGGATAAGTAGATCAATATATAGCTGGTAGTGATGGACTGGTATGTAGATAATAGGTTGGTGAATGAATGAATAAATTGATGGATGGTAGATTAGTGGACAGGTGAATAAATGCATGAATGGGTCATGAATGGATGGATGAATGGATGGATGGAATAGGTGAGTAGGTGTAATGATGGATGGATGGATGGATACATACATAAGTGAACTGGTGAGTGCAAGATGTACCTATGAATGGTTGGCTAGGTCAATAGATAAGTGGATAATGAATGAAGAAACTGGGCAGATTGAATGAATGATAGGCTTGTGAGAGTACTCAACCTCTATATAATTTCTTACTTAGGTTACATGGAGGGGGTACCCACTTGTTTCACTTTACACTTTTTTATTTTTAATTTTTGTTAGTACATGATTGCAGTACACAGTGATTACATGCATTGGGAGTTGTACATGTACATAATGTATCCTAATTCTTTTTACTTCCCCTGTCCCTCCCTACCACTTCTGTCCCTCCGTGTCTTGTGCCTGAGAGTTGAGGATTCTCCCAGAGACCTGAAAGAGAAACACAAGTTTCTTGGTCCTAGCAGGGAACCTTGGGCGTTGTGTGGCATGGAATCTGGGTTTCCTATTCTCTTGCTTCTGTAATAATGTGCTTATAGCCAGGATATAACACTGGTGTTTTCCCCCACCCTGTGTGTCTCCAAAGAGTCTTGGAGCTTCTAGTGAGTTGGGATGACAGAGAGCTCCTCTGGTCTGGAGAACCCTTTGGGAAACAGCCCCATGCCCCACCCCCACTACTGACTTCTCTGTCCCTCAGACCTGTGTGAAGAGGAGGAGTTCAAGGTCCTACTGTTGGAGCTCAAACACAAGCATGATGTGATCATGAAGTCACAGCTGAGGCACAAGTCATCCCTGAGCCGGAGGACATCCAGTGCGGGCAGCCGTGGGTGAGTCAGGGGCAGGGCATCCAGTGGTCCCCCTTTCTGTATCTGCTGTGGCACCTGGGCACAGGCCTCCAGCACCCCCTCTGTCTCCTCAGGAAGGTGGTACGTCGAGCCAGCCTGTCGGACAGGACCAACCTGTACAGGAAGGAGTATGAGGGAGAGGCCATTCTGTGGCAGCAGCGAAGTGCAGCCGAGGACCAGCGCACTGCGACCTACAACGGGGACATCAGGGAGACCAGGACAGACCAAGAGAATAAAGATCCAGTGAGTGGCCCCATGTCCTGGCCCAGTGTTAGCCACTGATTTTGGAGGAGGACAGGGTGTGCCCTGGTTTGGCTCCTCATCTGAGAACCTTTGGAGAGAAGCGGCTGGCCCTAGCAGCTGGATCCCCTCTCATAGTGGTAGGCAGTGTTGTTACTGAGGTGGCCTTGGGGCATGTCAGAGTCAGGGCTGGGAGTTTTAGTGGGGGGCCAGGGTGCACCTCATAATTGACAGGGAGAGAGTGACTGCTTATCTCCCCTCAGATGTGGGTTCTAGACTTCCAGAAGAGAGGTTCAGCAGGGCACTTACCCCAAGAACTAAGGGCATTAAAATATTTTCAGGCAATGAAACAAGATGTGAGAATGCTGTTTATCAGAACACATCTAATAGGAAGATATTTTCTGAAACACTGAGTGGGGTACTGGGAGGACCTCTGATGAGCCTGCCCAGCAGTAGCCTACAGTGCTCCTGGGCTTTGAAAAAATTTCCTAAGAGGGTGCATAGTTACTTCCTGTGGCTGCTTTGACGTATTGTGGTGGCTCAGGTGTTCCTTGACTTTTGTAAGCATGAATTCAACCTCTGTTCCCATCTTCATGGGCATTCTTTCTTGCATTGTGTCTGTTTTTTTTTTTTTAATTATAAGAAAACCAATGTATTATTTTCCCCATCCAGTAGGACTATCGAGCCAGCCTATCAGACAGGACCAATATTTAAATATAGAGGAATTTATTTTTATTTATTTATTTATTTTTGCAGAGCCGGGGATTGAACTCAGGCCCTTGCACTTGCCAGGCAAGCGCTTATTCTAAAAGTTTGGTTTTTTGGGGGTTTTTTGGGGTTTTTTTTTTGTGGAACCGGGAATTGAACTCAGGCCCTTCTGCTTGCCAGGGAAGCACTTGTTCTACTGAGCCATCTGCTCGGCCCCCCAGTAGGACCTTATATTAATTTGACTAGTCACATCTGCAGAGAACCTAGTTTCAAATAGTCACATTCAGAGGTTCTAGGTGAACGTGAACTTTGAGGGATCTGATTGAGCTCCATTCCAACCCTTTCAGGTTCATACGCAGGTGCTTTCGGGCTGGGTGGGGAGAAAAAGTTTAGGGCCAGAAAAGAATTGCCGTAGAGAAAAGGGGAGAGGCAGGCTGCACCAGGAGTGCTCTGAAGCCCTGGTTCTCCTACCGCTCAATGAAAAGATGACAATATTTCTAGAGGACACTGCTTAGGTAGGAGGATTAGCTGCCCTGGATGCTCATATGTCTTAGTGGAGCCCTGGTTCCCAGTGGGCATAGGGAGGCCACCCCCAGGCTGTCTCATTTGTAAGAGTGAAGATGCCTATTAAAGGCCTGCCCATAGAGCCAAAGCAGCCTGGCTATGAAGAGGGTACCCACAGAAGCTTTGTGCTTCTATCCTTCAGCTTACAGGGTAGGGAGGAAAAGTTGTAGATGAACACATCATATTTCAGATGCTTAGGTATGCTTTACTTATTCTTTATGATGTAGGTGTATGTTCTGTATGGTATGGTATAGTTTTCTCATTGCTGAGATAAAATACCTGGCACCCAACGTTAAAGAAGGAAGGGTTCACTTCAGCTAATAGTTTGAAGAGGTTTTAGTCCATAGGCTGTTGGCTCCAAGGGAGGGTGGCATGGCAGAGGGGTAGTGCAGAGGAGAAGCAGTCCATGGCAGGGCAGGGAGGAAGCAGCATGCAGCAAGCAGCCCTTTCCTTTTTATTCCACCCAGGCTACAAGCCTTTTGGGTGGTGCCACCCACACCCAGGGTGGGCCTTTTCCTTGTTCATATGCAGAACTATGTGGAAACCAATCAGTGGACTAATTGAGTTATCACACCCTTTAGTCCACATTCACACACACTAGATTCAGCCACCTCGGAAAAGCCCTGCCTATGAGTGGATGAGGAAGGGACACCTAGATATAAGCTAGGACTGTACATAAATCTGAAGTGCATTTACTAATGTGCACAATTAGATGAATTCATGGAATATTGTTTCACCCTAGAAGACTCTCATATTCACTCTCTGTCTCAGTTACTTTTCTCTTATTGCTGGAACAAAGTACCCAACAACCAAAAGTAAGCAAGGAGGTTGTCAGTGGGTTGTAAAGATGAAGGCCAGACCCACCAGGGGATGAATGTCACTGTGGCTGGGCCATACTCAGCCTGAGAGGGATTGGGGGGAAGGGGACAGAACCCACCCAGACCTTGCCCCACACACTCATCCCTGGGGAGAAAAGCTGGTGTCTGTGATTTTTTTTTTTTTCCAGTACTGGGGGTTGAACCCACAGTTTTCAACACTAACCTGTATCCCCTGCTCTTTTTATTTATTTATTTATTTACTTATTTATTTTTACTTTTTGTTTTGAGATAGGGTCTTGCTAGGTCCTTAAATAAGCGAAGCTGAGCTCCTTAACTTGGGCTCCTGCTGTCTCAGCCTCCTTATAGTGCTGAGTGGAATAAGAAGTATGTGCCACCAGGCCCGGCTTGGGATGTATGATCTCTATGCACATTAGATGTGGAGGGGTTGGGTGTGGGGGAATCCTGGGCTAGGGACCCAGAGCCTGAGAACCCCTTTCTGAAAGGGCATGGTTGAATTTTAGTCCCCCCCCCCCCGTTTGCTTTTTGCGGTACCGGGGATTGAACTCAGGACCCTGTGCTTGCCAGTCAAGCGCTTATTCTCTTGAGCTATCTCCTGGGCCCCTGGTGAGTTTTACTCAATAAAGTTTTCTTTGATGACTCAAAAAAAAAAAAAAAAAGTAAGCAAGGAAAGGTTTATTTAGCTCACAGTTAGTAGAAGTTTCAGTTCATACTCAGCTGGCTCCAAGACAGAGTGGCACATGGCAGAATGCGGCCATTCATGGTGGCAGAAAACAGCAAAGAACAAAGGGAGGAGCAGGGGCTGCTGCAGCTAGCAAGCCTCTCTCCCGTCCTTATATTGTATTCAGGCTCTCTGCCCCAGGCTGGATGTAGCACTCACACCCATAATCCCAGCATTGGATCATGACTTAATTACACACTCTAGAAGCCTGCCTCAATGACTGCATGAGGCTTTGGGGGGACAACTAGACACAAACCACAGCACTCTCCAAGTTACCCCTGAAGATTAGTTTTGTGTACGCACATGTGTGCATGCGAACACGTGAGAGCAGGAGGATGTCTTTGTGTCTGGCTTATTTTATGTCTGTGAGACTCACCCACGTAGTGGCATATAGCAGTAGTTGATGCCTTTTCACTGCTCTCTGGAGTTCTGTTGTTTGATGATAATCAACCCTTCATAACTGTGAGTTCACTTCTGCAGATTCAACCAATTTCAGAGTGAACGTATTTTTAAAAAATTGTATCTAGGGCCGGCCAGATAGCTCAGCGGATTAAAGTGCCTGCTTAGGCAGATGAAGGTGCTGGGGGGGGCAGATTGCTCCCCTGTGGTACCAGCCCCACCCCCAGGGTGTGCTGAGATGGCAATTGAGACTGGGCATGGTGGCGTACGCCTGTAATCCCAGAACTTGGGAGGCTGAAAACAGGAGAATCACTATGAGTCCGATCTATGTAGTGAGACCCTGTACATCCTGTCCTAAATTTGAAAAAAAACAATTGTGTCTATAATGAACATGGAGACTTTTTGCTTGTCAGTATCCCCTAAACAATATAGCCTAGTATTTCCATAGCATTTATATTGTATTAGGTATTATAAATAAATTCGAGATGATTTAAAGTAGAGGAGAGGAAGTGCATATAGGTTACTTGCTAATATTATGACATTTAAATGAGACACTTACGCATCATAGGAGTCCTGGAACCCATTCCTTGTGGATACTGAGAGGCAACAGAATTACAGTTTACCTAGCTGTTCTCCTATTGGTGGACATGTAGATTATTTCTAGTTTGTAGCTATTATGAATAAAGCTGCCACCGTGTGCATTTTTGAGGGAAATTCAGTGTGGAGTAGGCATCTTTAGCTTTAGTAGATGTCACCAAGCGTTTTCCAAAGTGATTGTACCTAGAGCCAGGCCTTTTGGTGCACAACTCTAATCCCAGCACTCTGGAGGCTGAGGCAGGAGGATCACTGAATTTGTGGCCAGTTTGGACTACATAGTGAGTTTAAGGCCAGCCTGGAATACAGGGGAGAGCCTGTCTTAAAAAACAAAAACGAGGGTTGCTGAGATAGCTCAATGGACTAAGTACCTGCTTAGGCAAGCACAGGGATGGAGGTTTAATCCTCAGCAACACATGCCATACCGGCCCCACCCCTGGGTACAACTGAGCCAGCTACCAAGACCAGGCGTGGTGGCGCACACCTGTATTCCCAGTGCTGGGGAGGCTGAAAATAGTCTAAGCTGCATAGTGAGACCCTGTACCAAATACAAAAAAAGAAATAAACAAATAAATATAAACAAAATGGGTGTACCTATCTATTTTCCCATCAGCAGTGTAAGAATGTTTTTTGCCACTCTTGGTATAATCAGTCCCTTTCGCTTGAGCCATCTTTGTAGGGTTGCTGTTTAAACTTCCGTTCCCCTGAGGGTGTGTGCCGTGGAGCTCCTTTTTGTGCACTTATGGCCCCTTGAATTATCTTCTTTTATGAAATAGCATTTGGTCCTTTTTTATTGATTAATCTTTGCCTTCCTGATCTTTAACTGACTGAGATACTTCAAGAGATCCTTCTATGAGCAGTTGATCCCCTCATGTTTGCTTGCTTTGTCTCCCTGTGTGCGTTCAGGTCCCACAGGCCCCAGGACGCCCCAAAAGTGCTCATCCATGTGGAGTCCCAGAAATCGCTAAGTGTACAGGGACGCCCTTAGCTAGACCTGGTTTTCTTTTCATTCTAGTTAATTTCTAGGGCTTCCTCATCAGTGTTTAGTGCTAGGTGATGCCAAAGATGGTCATTTTTCCCTGTGAGGCTGAGTTTTTAAGGCCTGGGGAAGAGATAGGTTACAGACGACATTACAAGGGCAGACTGCATCTGCTTCCTAGGGCAACTTTCAGGGCCACGCAGGTCCCCACCCTAGCCCTGGAGGAAACAAGATCACAGGACACAGGCACAGAGTTCAAACTACGTTCCTTTTTCATCCTACCCCTTTCTAGGCTTTAGGTGTTAGCAAGTGTGATCTCTAAGCGTGGCCCTGGGGCCAACTGCCTTCGGATCACTTGAGAACTTGCTAGAAGTACATATTCTCAGGTTCTGCCCCGGATGTACCAAATCAGAAGCACCGGGCCAGCACCCAGAATTCTGTTAACCAACCTTGTAGATACAGACAGTGATGCACGTGATGATACGAGAGCCACTGATCTAAGGGAGAATTTGTTCAGCTTGCCTCCCACATCACCCCTGCCACGGGGTGTCCTGGAAGCCCCTGGGGCTGGCCTTGCTTCAAGCTTTGACAGAGCTAACTTCCTGGTCCTGGTCACAAAAGCCATAGGACAGCCCTAGGCTCCTCAAACATGGGTCACAAATTTAATTGTGCCATGAAATCAGCTGGGGAATTATCTTTCTATCTTTCTTTTTTCTTTCTTTCCTTCATCTAGGCCATGGCTTAAATAGTCTAAATAATGAATCTTAGAACTGAAGCATTATGTATATGGCTTAAATTTTTAAATTAGGTTTGATGATATTGAGCAGTTTGAATTTGGTAGAAAATTGGAAGTGGAAAGTACAGATGGTTCTCATGTACCTCTTCCTACACTCCTCCTCCCAGGCTCCCCTTTTATTAATATCCTGTATTTGCACAGTACCTGTACTATTACTGATAAGCTAATGGCACATTATTGTTAACTAAAATCTAGAGTTTACATGACAGATCATTCTATCATGTAAACTTCAGGCCTGGGGAAGAGATAAGTAACAGAGCTGACATTGCCAGAGCAGACGGTCCTTATCCTAGGACAACTCTCAGGACCCAGGCCCGCACAGATCCCAGCCCCAGCCCTGGAGGAAACAAGATCACAGGACACAGCCACAGAGTTCAAAAACATGTTTTTCATGCTACCCTTCCTAGGCTTTAGGTGTTGGCAAGCATGTGGTAGTCTCTAAGGGAGGGTTTCTCCCAGTGCGGCCCTGGGGCTAGCTGCATCAGGATCACCTGGGCACTTGTTAGAAGTTAACTTCCTGATTAACTTTTTTGGTTTGCTTTTCATTCTAGTTAATTTCTAGGGCTTCCCCATCCAACCCCACAAGTTTTGACCACAGCCTGCCATCACATATCCCCCATGATGGTGTCATGCAGAATATTCTCACTGCCCTAAAATCCCTGGTGCTCCTTCTCACTCTCCCTGAGCTTGGAAATCACTGGCTTCCTACTGCCTCCATAGTTTTGTCTTTTCCACCATGTGCAGTTGGGACCATATAAACTTTCAAAATATGCATCAATGTGATAGGCGAAAGCTTTTGTTTTGATTTTTATTTCTGAATCAATATTATTAGAGAGGTTCAATTTTTTTTCTCCAATGTATACACTTTGCAGTGAGCTGGTAATTAGTTATTTGTTTTTTCTGTTGGGTAGTTAAGCTTCTTAGGGTTTGTTTGTTTGTTTGTTTGTTTTGTGGTTCTGGTGATTGAACTCAGGACCTTGTTCTTGCCAGGCAAGCACTTATTCTACTGAGCTATCTCCCCGGAGTTAAGCTTATTAAAACTGATCTTTAAGAGCTTTTTTGTGTCTAGGAAATTAACTCCTTGAGATCATATATATTGCAAATGTTTTTTTCCCAGTTTTTAAAAAGTGTGTCTTGCTATGCTTTGCATCTTTGTCATTGTCAAATGTACCTTTCTTGTGTTTTATAGTTGCTAGGCAGCAGTTACTTTAAAGCGCTTGTGGTCCAAGGATTCTTGTGTGTAGAGGATCCCTGGGTGAGACTCATTTTCACATTAAGAGGAGATACACTGCGAACAGAGAGGAAGGTTTATCAAGTATTTATAAGTGACTACAAACCTGAGTAAAACTGAGCAATTTCTTGGCTTGTATAAATGGAAAAGTCTGAGCCCAGATGGATCTAGGGGGCCTAAATACATCATGGAGTCAGCTTCTGTCTCTAGTCTTTCTTGATGTCAGCTTCTCTGCCAAGCAGAGAAAGCACCTTTCCACTGTGTCCCTTTAGTCCGAGTTGACACCATTCTTCCCTCCTGCAGGTCCCACAGAAATCTCACCTTCCCAGTTGTTCTAGCAGAAGTTCTAGGTTGAATTTCACTGATTCCAGTTAAGAACTCATTCCTGGACCAATCCCTGTAATAAAATACATTGATTATCCAGGTCTGGAGTCCTGGTCTGGATCCTCCAGCCCCAGGAGCAAGGACAGGGACTCACCAGGTCTACTAGAACACAAAGATTGGTGGTGCCCCAGAGGAACATGGGTCTTACCCATGCCCCTGGTAGGGGAAATGGATGGAGGATGGGTCTACTCCTGCTCTGGTCAGAGATGCAGGTGGGTGCAGGTCCTCAAGTCAGTTGCTGATGTTGTCCTTCTTGCCCTCAGAACCCCCGACTGGAGAAGCCCGTGCTGCTCTCAGAGTTTTCTACCAAGATCTCTCGGGGTGAACTGGATGGGCCCATTGAGAATGGCCTCCGGGCTCCCGTCAGCGCCTACCAGTATGCACTGTCCAATGGGGATGTCTGGAAGGTGCACGAGGTGCCTGACTACAGCATGGCCTACAGCAGCCCTGTCATGGCTGATGCCACCCCACCATGGAGCGGCTTTAAGGAGCAGAGCCCCCAGACGCTTCTGGAGCTGAAACGGCAGCGGGCAGCAGCCAAGCTGCTCAGCCACCCCTTCCTGAGCACCCACCTGGGCAGCAGCATGGCCAGGTCAGGGGAGAGCAGCAGTGAAGGCAAGGCACCCTTGATTGGAGGCAGAACTTCGCCCTACAGCAGCAATGGCACCTCCGTGTATTACACGGTCACCAGTGGGGATCCCCCACTCTTAAAGTTCAAGGCCCCCATAGAGGAGATGGAGGAGAAGGTCCATGGCTGCTGCCGCATCTCCTAGTCTCCTCACATAGAGGAGAGAGATGCCTCAGGGAGGGGTCCCTGGAATCTGGGCCAGTCCAATAGCTCTGGCTGGGGAGGCATCCGAGGGCAGCTGGGGAGAGGTGGCCTCTGCTTTCCAGAGGAACGCTGACCTCACCTCGCACCCAGCTGCCCACAGCAGCCCCACTCCCCTTGGTTCTGCTTCCTGCTGCATTGTCTGCCATCAGAAACCTAGTGGCCCGCACTCATTCTGCTGTTCGATTTGGGGAGGGCAGGCTTAGGATTCCAGTTCTATTCTGGTAAAGGCTTCTCGGGACCAGTCTCTCTTTCTCTCTCTCTCATTGCACACATGTAGGGATGATACACCTGGGCTCATGGGAAGCAGTTAGGACTAAAATGTGTGGGCTGTTTCCAAAGGGATTGAGGTAAAATCTCAGCACCACTGCCATGTGGCTCCAACAGGGGAGGGCCTGGCCCAGTTGAGACCTACGTACCTTCTTAGGGTCATTCCAGGCCTTGAAGCACCATCCACACCTAGCAAAGACAGGCAATCCTCTCTGTTTTTGTAAGAGCCAGCAATCTGTGTGAGTTAGATGTGACATGCACAGGCCCTGCAGCTCTGCTGAGTTATGCTTTCCCATCTCACATCAGGAGGCAGGAGCTGTACAAACCACTCAGGGGCTAGAAAACATAGAGGTAAGAAAGGGGTGCAGCAAAGAACTGTCTTTCCAAAATTTCATTTGGTAAAACCATTCTTTTAGCTTGTAAAGTCCAAGTGGGAGGAAACTAAATTTGCCTTCTCTGATGGTGTCTCATCAGGTTCCACTGGGGGGAAAAAAAAAGTCCAGTGAAGAGCTTCTGCTGGAGGCCTTTTCCCAGGAGAGGAGGGAGTTCACTTTTGAGAACAGCTCTGGTTAGCAGTGACACAGCCCAATGTCCTGGCCAGTCTTGACAAGATGCAGGCTGTTTTAGTCCAGCCTGTCTCAGCCAGCCTTCCTCAGACTGAGCCATCCTGGTGAGCAGCTGGGGCCACCGGTGCCCCACCCCTCTCACCTCCCCCATGTCTTGTCAGTTGTGTGCAGAGTGAATGCTCAGAATCCCTAGCTCAGCTCTGCCTTTCCTGAAATACTTGTGGAGACAAGCTTGCCAGTTGGCCCCCATGAGTTCCTGTCTGGCCCCAGGGCTCCCAGCCTGCTTCTGCTGGGGTTATGACACCTCAAGGCTACAAACCCAGAGTGCCCATACCCAGCACCCTATACTGAATCGAGGAGATCAGTGGCAGGACTGGAAGTAGTTATCACCACAGCCCTCCATGTCTGTAGCCTCCCCAGTCTCCCTAATGCTGGGGAAGGTGGGCTCCTTCCTCCTCATGGTTATATTATATCATGCGTTCCTTTGAAATTGTCCGTGCAGTGGGCACTGTCCACAGGCTCAGCCAAGATCTTCAGTGTAACTATAAGCTGCAGGTTTGTTCCCTGCTCTGTGCGCCTTTAATTTGTTCTAAAACTACCTCCTTAGAGTTCTGAAGGGCCCCTTTGGTCCAGATTCTGAGGTGGGGAACAGATCTGGGTGCCCTTTAACCTGTATCTTTCTGAGCCTATGAGAAATTTGCCCTGAATGGCACCTAGACTAGGGCAGGCTGAGTTAGAGCAGTCCCACTTGTGCCACAGCCATAGTAATAGGGTCTGCTGTTTGTCAGCCTTGGTCCCTCACTGTGGCCTTCTGTGTCCCCCATATTCCAGCAGGACTTCAATGGGCCTGGCTGATGCTTTAGCAGGAGTAGGGCAGCTGGGCCAAAGGATACCCATGGTGGATGCTAAGGTTACAGAAGGTCTCCCAGCACCAGGCCATGCTCACCCCAAGTCCAGGGTAGGTACAGTGGAGAGACAGCTCAGGAGACTGAAGACAGGTGTACATGCTATCTGCTACATCCCTGAGGGTGGAGTGGGTGCTCCATCATCTCACGGGTGAAGCATCAGATGCTCCAAAACACACATAGGTTTAAAAAGTCTTCAGTCCTGACTGGTGCTGAAATGCCCCTGGAACTGACTTTGGCTACAAGGCGGAAAGTGCCAGGGGCAGTCACATATTCTCAAGAGACAGTGGACCCTGAGTCAAAGGACCAGAAACATGGCAGGCCTCCAGGCCACGCCTCCCTTCCCTCTTCTTGGCTCCAGGCCTTTACTCTCCACCTAGAGAGTTGGGAGTCTCAGCTGATCTCCTCCCTTACCCTGGAAGTGGCCTCTGACAGAGGTGACTTCCAGGCTTTTTTAGCTCATGTTTTCTATTAGGTATAAATGTTCCCTGGTAGGGTTTCAGGGCCCTTGGGGAGCCTTCCCTGGGTACTGAAGGATAAGTTGGGGAACCTCCAATGAATGAGCCAGAATCGTCTGTTTATTTACTGATAACTTACTGAGTAGCTGTGACAAACCAAGCACTATGCTAGGTTCTACAGATAGAGGAGCCAGTGAGGACTGCTTTTTCCAGTTTTCATCTCTTGAGGACCATGGGCAGCAGCAGCCCTGCCTAGTTCACCTGAGCAGAGCACTTTTTCAGTTTGTGGAACCCTTAAAGTATGAAACCCTTTATCTTGGAAACACTTCCATGACCACCCAAGGATAACATTTTCCATGAAATGCAGATGCTTAATCTTGGGTTCCAGGCAAACACCATCCCAGGTCCCTCTGGAACCTTCAGAGATAGGGCAGTATCTTTGGGGGACAGTACAATAGCAGTCTGTGGTCAGTGTGTAGAAGAACAAGAAGTTTGTTAGCCATTTGTTGCCAAATGCATCTTTAGTTCTTAAAATTGTTGTATTTTGCTCATTTAAGACACACTCCTCCCCCCAATGGACTCCACATGCATCAGGGGAACCTCTGGGAGAGAGCAGCTACTCTTTCTAACAGTAAGCCTTTCCCTATAAACCAACCTCTCTCTGGTAGGTGTGGATCAAGGAGCTGGGAGAAGCCTGGGAAGGTCGACCAGATGCCCAGCTCCTGCTGCAGCCTAGCCTGGTGGCAATTCCCAGTAGATTGATGGAGGCCACTTCTGAAGCAGAGGCCATAATGCTCAGTGTGGAATCTGGTCTTGTTCCCATCTTATGCCTCAAACAATTGGAAATTGGTGGCTGTCATCAGATTGTGAGTTTCTGGCCAGTAGCTCAAAAAATCTAAATGAACTCTGCCGAGGTCAACCGAAAATTTCAGAATATAATTCTCCATTAGAGATGCAACATCAATAAAGTTGCGCTGTTTGATCGATTTCAATGGATCTACTTCCAAGAGGCTTTGACAAGTTAATCAGAGTGTGGCCCCCATCTTGGTCCACCAGTCTGCTAGCTTTGTAATAACAGGACACTGCTGGATCTTGATGTCAGACACATCACAATAGAATGATCCTGAGCTTTCTCTCCCAGTTGCTCTCCCAGAGCAAACCATGAGGATACTTTGCAGGAAGGGGCTCCTTACAAGATGCCCAGAAGCACTGTATGCAATCCCTGTTATTTGTAGCTTTCCCTCCCCCAGCAGAGACAAGCAAAGGATCACATGGTCAGTAGATAGCTCTGCAGAAGTATCTCCCTTTGCTAGAAGCTATAGGCCTCTCCTCTCCAGAAGTCTCTTTTTGGTCAAAGGGGTTCTTCCCATGGGCATCGCAAGTGCCACCATGCGGGGCCTGGCTCTGCACACCTAGGAGAGTCTGCAGACCCCCAGCCTCCCGCAATAATTCACCAGACCAGAAGCCACTGATGTACAGAGAACACTTCAGAAAAATGTATTTTATGTGAAAAAAAAAGTTAAAACTCTGTATACTGTATCAGCAGCTTTGTGTAAAAATGGCAATCAAGAGAGTCTAATATATTTAAAACTTTTTTTAAAAAAAATCCTCATGGATCTTTGATATTGTATTGAGGTAACTTCCAGGTAGCCCCTTGCCATGCGGCAGCGGTGGGCCTCATGTCCAAGATAGGCTTTGGCCACGTCCCAAAGGGGCACATGCCCCTGGAGTCGCTTCCAGCTGCCAAGGCCTGTGATGGAATTCGCTGTTAAGAGTTTTTAATTAAAATTATTAAATTCCTTTTAATAACACCTGCCAGTGTGACTGTGTTTATTGCTGTGAGCTCAGTTGAACTGGGATAATGTGAATTTGCAAAAGGGTGGTAATTGGGGGGGGGGAGCGTGGTGCTCAGGATGGAGGGTGGGGCCTTGCCTTCACTATAGTGGGTTCTCCCAGGCAGCCACTGGAGTAGAGGGAGCTCTGGAGGCTCAGACATGTGGCTGATGTCTCTCTAGATTGGAGGATGGTTAAAATCATGATATAAGATTGGGACAAATAAGAGTTAGATGGAGTGAACTTCATCCTGTCAGATATTCCTTTTGAAACTATGTAAAGCCCACCCATAGCATATCAAGGTGTGATCAAAATACACTACAACTTTAAATTTTAAATATGATGACAGTAAAAGACACATTGCTATCACCGCCCCTCAAGATACTCCCCCTCACTTCAGACACACATTCCATAATTCTCACTACTTTCTGAAGCATTCTGGAAGTCTCTTTCATGAGTGTGTTTACAAGGTATGATCAAAATCTGGTGAATGCTGCTGTGGAGTCCCACAAAATAGAAGGACAGGCTTATGAAAATATTCTGGTGTGCTCTCATCCATCTTGTTCTCTGGATCTGGCACCATGTAACATCTGGCTTTTCCTCAAAGTCAAAATGCTCATGAAAGATAAATGTTTTGAATGGATTCGGGACAGCCACAAGGGCAACTAAATACATGAAAGAGAACACAAGAACTGCTTCAGAAAGTGGCAGGTACAGTGCAATAAATGTGTTCAAAACAAGAGGGAACATTTGAGCGGGATTACTGTCAGTGTGTCTTATTATAATAAGTTTTTTACAAATTTACATATTTACTATATTTTTATCACACCTCATGTATGTAACAAGGGGACCCTCTCCTCTGTTCCATTCTTGAAGTGCACTGGTTGGTCCTGTGCCTTGTCTTCCTCATTTAGCTTATGGTGGGAAAATGTCATACCTCACCATATACAACACTACCACATAGGATCATTCTCACTTTTTACCTTGGGTAAAGAGCCATAGACAAGCATTGTGGTTGTGCAAACACAGACCACAGATTTGTTCTCTTCCCATGTGGAAGTTTGTTGGCATCTTTGAAAGAGGATGCAAACTCTTGGATGCTGGATGCCAAACTAGGGACACACAGAAGGCCCCACACTTGAGTCCGAAGAACTTCACAAACAAGCCAGGGAAGGGGACAAAATGGGAAGAGGAGAGGCGTCTTAGCAGTAGGATGTATTCATTCCCTTAAAAATGAAGTTTTCTGGCTGCTACGTAATGGTGACACACACATTTAGGAAGTGCTTTACAGTTGTACATAGGCCCTCTTGTTGACACAAAGAAAATGAAGCATGTAGATTTACCGCTAGATTTAGCATTGTGAAAGGGGTTTTAGTTGAGCAGAAGGGATATTATCCTGATGAGAGAGAATTCAAGGAAGAACTAGAGGAAAACTGGAGACAACAAATATAAACTACTGGTTTAAAGTTTTAGTTGCAAAAGTGAACAGGATATGTGGTGGTAGCTTTCGAGGGCTGGAGGGATAAGAGGGTTATTTTAATAGCATGCTCGTAGCTATTAGAAATGAATCAATTAAGAAAGAAAGTTTGAGGCCGGCAAGATAGTTCAGTGGACTAAAGTGCCTGTTTAGGCAAGTACAGGGAGTGTGGTTCGATCCCTGGAACCACATGCCACACCTGCCCTGCCCCCAGGGCTGGCTGAGCAGGCCAGTGTCTGGGAGGGCATAGTGGCATATACCTGTAACCCCAGCGCTGGGGATGCTGAAAGCAGGAGGATCTCCATGAGTCTGAGCTGCATAGTGAGACCCTGTAACAACCAAGTACAGAAAGAAAGAAGGAAAGAAAGAGAAAAAAAAGAAAGAAAGAAAAAGTAAGTTGGGGAACCAGAAGAAAGGAAAGAATTTCTGGAGAGATACAGGTTTGTAGTCATTAGGTGATGTGGATACGTTTTTGGCATGTAAGATGCAGATAAATTGGAAATCAGACATGGCTGAGATCTTGAGTTAGCTGCAAGGGTTACTTTTGGGCTGCTGTCTCATTCAGGGTCCTCCGAAGAAGTTCCCTTTTCGGTGTCTAAGCTGTTACCAATCAGCTGAGAGCTCTTGCTCCACTTGTGTAGAAATTGTGAATTGGCAAAATGTAGCTCTTTTCGTATTAACAGCCCTGGACTTTGAAGGCCAGCCACTATGAACTCTTTTGGGGTCAGTGGTCCTTTTGGTACTTGGAGCCAGCAGCTGCCAGCAGGCCTCAGGAACCCTTCGGGTTATCAAATATGTCAGCTCCAGACAACTCTCTATTACTCACTCTCATTCTCTGGCTCCTAGCGGCCTTCGGTGTTACCGGCCCCAGCAGCTGGCTGCTTTCCTAACCAGCATTCTTTGATGGAATCACAAATCATAACAAACAAAAAAATCATGCCATTTGGAAGAGGCTTTAATAGGACTTCATGCTGTAGGTTAAGCGCATGCATTAAACCTGCAAAGGGTATGGGGAGGTTCCTAGCATAGAACAAAAGGTGGGCTGATGCACGCACGGTGTCAATCTTTCTGCTTGGTCATGGGTAGGAGAGGGGTTTTCTGTGGACCTAACTGAGGAGGACGCCAGGGCGGAGTCATCTGGGATAGGGCACAACTGCAGGAGGCTGCAGCCGAAGCAAATCTCTCCTAGAGTAGCAGTGATGGCGCCAGAAAAACGATGAATGAGAGAAGAGAAAGAGAAGCGTCTAATTTAAGTGACCATCGTGATAGTATTTTTTTTTTTTAAAGAACGAACGATTGCCTGTAGGGGATAAAAATAACATAGTTGGCTACATTCACGCTCTCAGGGCTCAGGAAAAGCACGGTCAATGTGCCCACGAGCAAGAGCCAGTGGGTCAGCTCTGTCTGGATCTGACTGGGCCGGGCCTCCCAGGGCGGTGCTGTGGGGCAGCCGGCAGAGGGCGCACGGGAATGGCCGGGGTCGCCCCGCAGGCTCCACTGTTTTCTCTAGCCTGACTGCGCAGAGCTGTTCGCAGCAGATCTGGAGCAGTAATGGCTAACGCAGGCACAAAAAAGGCAACGTTAAGATCCGCGGAGCAAACCAGAGTAGCAAGGACCTTGGGATCCCTAGCCAATTCTGTGCCCTGAGTCCGGGCAGCCAATAGCAATCAGGGGGCGTGGCCGGAGGGGGCCGTTCCACCACCTGGCTCCACCATTGGAAGGAAGGCAGCCAATGGGAGAACCGAAGGAGAGTGGTGTGGCCAATGGCGCGGGCCGGTTTGATTCAAAGGTTCGTATAAAGTGGCCGGCAAAGGGATCCGGCCAGAGGTAGGTTGGGATCACTCCCACGATGGCTCTGCGGCCTGAGGTCCTGGACGAGCTGCCCGCCTTTTGTCTATCGCCGTGCGGGCCGCCCAATCCCGCCGAGCTGTTCAGCGAGGAGCGGCGCCTGGCTCTCGAGGAACTGGTGGCGGGCGGCCCCGAGGCTTTCACGGCTTTCCTGCGGCGCGAACGCCTGGGTCGCTTTCTGAACCCCGACGAGGTGTGCGCGGTGCTAAACTCTGCCCAGCGGCCCAGAGAGGAGGGCGCGGCGGCGGCAGCGGCCGAGGAGTCCTTCGGTTCGTCACACGACTGCTCGTCCGGCACCTATTTCCCTGAGCAGTCCGACCTGGAGCCGCCGCTCCTGGAGCTCGGCTGGCCTGCCTTCTACCAGGGCGCCTATCGCGGCGCCACGCGCGTCGAGGCGCACTTCCAGCCCCGCAGCGCCGGTGCCGGCGGCCCTTACGGCTGCAAGGACGCGCTGCGCCAGCAGCTCCGCTCGGCTCGAGAGGTGAGCAGCTTCGCCGGCCTCTGGGGTCCGCCTCGGCGCGGGATCGAACCAGAGACCCTCTTCACGCGTGAGATTGAGGGCTACCGGGAGGCGGGCAGGGCCCACAACCTCCTTCCTGGGTACCGAGGCCCCCCCACTCGCCCCATTCTGCTGGTCTCCCTAGGATCCCAGATCCCCTCGGTCGTTCGAGCAGTTTCTGTCCCCCCAAGGGTGTGAACTGTGCCTTAGTTCCAACTCCTGATATTCCTATCCCTGGAGGAGGGACCAGAAGTACTGTAGTTAGCAATATCAGTTAAAACCAAGCTGGGTGGCAGAATTATCCCAGGCCTCTGCCAATATGCGATCCCACTTTCAGCAGCTTCTTGGACACAAAAGAGCGTCTGATCTAGGGAAAAATTCCTCAAAGACTATTGTGTGCTGGGAATCAGTTATTGCTGATTTACTCTACTTCGTGTTTAATATTGTAGAAAGTAGATCAACACAGGAGTGGCAAAGTGACAACCCTGTCTAAAGCTTTGCCTACTGCCAGACGCTAAAGGGAAAGTTCTCCTTGGGGGAGAGGAAGCATAAGCTGGGGCTGTTACAGGTAACAGTGACTTCCCTAGATGCAGACACCCCTGCATTGGATGGGGCTCTATTTACAGTGGATTTTGTCCTGCTGTCTTAGTGTAGCATAGTAGAGGTACAACAGGAGGTCTTGCCCAACTGCCAGCAGGGTGCTGGGCATCAGGGAGTAGGTGTGGCAACAGTTTCTTTAGTCTGAAGCCAAGGTCTGTGCATTTGCTGACTGGCAGTGCTCAGCTTCCTAGCCCTCCGGCTATGGCAGGGACATGGCAAGCAAAGCTCTGAAGCTGCACATGTTTCACTTACAGGTTCATAAAGTTAAAAAAGATGGAAAAAGACCAGTTGCTGGTGTAGGTTTGAGTTCCCCAAGCTTTCCTCCAGGAGGCAAACTTGAGCCCTTGCAACTTGTGAGAAGTAAGAATAGGTCTCCATAAAAGGCAGAGACATTGCTGGGTGTGGTGGCGGAGGCTTGTGGTTCCAGTAGTCCCAGCACTCAGGAGGCAGAGGCAAGAGAATACTTGGGAGTTTGAGACCAACCTGGGTTGCAAAGTAAGCCCAAGGCCAGTCTGAA